GGGACTGTTAGGGTTAAGAAGTTGATTGCACATGATAAAGCCTGGATTTCTCAAAGGTTCATGAAGGTAAACTCGCAAGTGGGCAGACTTACAAAAAAAACCATAAAATATACTGATTTTGTAAGCATACCCTTTGAACACCAACTGAAAATACATGTACATATACATATACAACAGGCCTTTTTTTCAGAGGAGACACACAACTATGGTGAACGTACATTTACATGTAATTGGGGTACAAACTCTTGGTATTTTTGATCTGCTCAGATTACATGTACATGGGTAACCCCAAAAGACAGATGAATGAAATTAATTACTCTGCCCAGATGGCAGACAAACTGCCGTCGCTCCATCAAGTACTCCGAGAGGACTTAATCTCATTGAATGTAATTTTAAAAATCCATCATAATCCCTCTCAGTCGAGCAATAAACCAAATTGGGCCAAGGATGCATTATTCATTAAGCACAGGTATCCTATACCCTTGTACAATATCGGTAATGTTTCATTTTTGAAGCACAAATTCAATTTTTATTTCACAATCGAAGTGAAATGTGTACAGAACCGCAGCTCAAATGAAAATGCATTTAGGTTTCAAATTTCATAGCTAAAACTCTCATCTGTGATAAGAAGCCATCAGGCGCATACATGTAGCCTGGGTTTTGATTTTCGGTCTAACGCTACAACATCAGGCTGCGAAGACAGCTGCAAGATAAAGAGACAGTTTTGGAATTTTTTTACAACTCAATACTCAATACTTTTATCGTCCAAATTGGCTGTCTTCATTAGTTTTATATGTATGATTGATATTGGCCATCCTGGTTCAGCATTGACAATCCGTTGCCGTCCTGTTCTTGCTCCCTATCGTTGCTCCCATCTTGTTCTTAAACTCTGTGCATTTTGTCCCTCTGCATCCCCCCTTTGGCTAAACTGCTGGACTGAATGACTGAAAGCTTTTAAAATAATTGGTGACATTCATTCACACCTTCGCTTAGACATACATTGTATCTGATGGGGTAATGTCTTTCACTTCACGACTACAACGTAATTTTTGGTTAGAAAGAGTATCTTCACAAAGAGAAGTTTCAACTTGTTTCCTGCAAGAAAGTAACTGCAGCCCCTTGAAAGGCTATAATGCATGCAGACAAAGGCCACATAATCTAGATAATGCTGGAAGAGGCAGTTAGTGCAGAAAAAGCAAATTCACTCTCAGGAAATCACACATCTGAGCTAAAAATACATGCTGAAATGTCTGATGAATTTGATCATGTCCTCTTTAACAGTGCGTGCAGCAAACTGCAATCCACCACAAACGGGAAGGTTAAGAACCGTTACAAGTTCTACTTCAGGGGGCTATGTTTGGTGACTGGTGCACTTAACGATCACTCCAACGACGAATTCACCATTTCCTGGGGGTGTGCAGAAGGTTTCATCTTGTCTTGAGCATTCCCCAAAGTTATGACACACGCAATTACCCCGGGAAGAGTTGAGAGGTGGCCCATTTCAACACAGTTGCAGCTGAGACGTGAAAACGGGAACACTTGGCATTCTACTCACTGGGCATCTCCACAATGTACCCTGTTTGATGCGGACCATTTAATCAGCGCAAACATGTTTACAGGGAATCCGAATGTGGTTAGAATGAGGGTAAAGGTGGGAAGGCTGTCAGGGTAGGGGGGTTACATGTGTATGTATCTGTTCACAGTTATCAAACAGGAGGGAATTAAACTTCACAGGAAGAGAAAAAATGCTTTCAGCGAACTCAAACACATAATGGGTACAGACAGGTACATGCATATGCTAGATTCCCCTTTTCAGTCATCTCAGCGTAGGTACATGTACGTGGTGTAGTTTTCAAATGTGCCCCTTCTAATGCCCCTCCTTGTTGAAAAAGACTAAAGCTTAATTTAATCCTTTTGTACCTGTATTTCTCTCGTCATTTTACATTCACAAATACCTCAGACAGTCAGTCAACATGCAAGTTGACCGTGTATTAACATTTGATAATGCCTGCCGAGCAGTGATAATGCCCGCTGTGTAAGTTGAGTGCTGGAACCTGGATACAAGACGGTTTTTAATCAATTCTGATTGGTCAAGAGTCTGTGTGCTTGCGGCTCGCCGAGCGCATGCTAAATGGATAATTTGGACAAGGACTATTCCATTTAATGGAAACTGAAAGTAAAATTCTAAAATCGCTAGAAATCCATCATATATTGACTTCTTTTGACTCTCGGACTAAAAAGGTATTTATGAATGGGAATGAATATAACTAACGTTTATGACCGGCTCAGGAGACTGAACGCTGATAATGCCCTTGCCTGCAGTTCGGGCATTAGTCACGTCCATTCACTTGAGTCGGTCTGCACTGCACGTTTAAGACCGGCCAAGCACATATTTATTCAGGGCCTGCTGCAAGTCATTGGCTCTCTTCAACTTTCAACATATTTGAAATTGTCAGTAAAGGATGCCAGATTGTGAAGTTGATTATGTCAGTGCTTCCATGATCAAAAGTAACTGTTCTGACATCCTTCCTTCTATATGAATGCATGCTGTATTCATTTGAAAATTTATGTGCCATTATCATCAGCTGAGGGATTCTGCAAACATCTTGTTGTAACAGGATGTAATCACGGACCATTTACATTGTAAATGGTCCGTGATGTAATGAATGACTGCTTTGTAGCATTCACATAATTAAAAGGGAGAAGAAAGTGGTGAGTATCTCTGTTTGGCTCCAACCAGACAACTGAAGGTATTATTGATATTCATAACAGCGTAGGGTCCAATTCAGATTCCCTTGAGTGTACAAGCTAACACCTACCACACCTGTTGTCAATACCAGTGGTGTGAGAAACTCCCCAGCAGGCAGGAAACCGGTGACATGACTAGATCCTCTGTCAACGATGAGATCAAAAGGGGGCAGGCAGTGCATCAGCCAAGTCACTGGACAGAATCAATAATTCCCGGAGTGCCGACTCCTAGGTCCAGACTTGGTGTTGGATGTCCCCTCAGAAAATATGGACAAAAACAGAATCTGATCCAGACAACAACAAAATCTGTTTGAAGGCAAGGAAAGACGTGGGAATCAGTTACCACAGCAACTATATTTAGATGCAACCGTAGACTGTCTTGACGTGGTGTTGCCGGGTGCAAAATTCAAAAAGTGCAGACAGAAGAGCATAGGCATATCTGTCGCTCTCAATTAGAACCTGCGCCTTTAGCAAATTTGGTTAGTGATTCTCTGCAGCTCAAAATCAAGTCAAGCCTTTCTCCAAGTAACATTCGGGTTGAATTTCCCTCAAGGCGGTATTCCCCTCGGGGGTTGCTCCTAATGCATGCGATCCAACCGCCTTAAAACAGATCTGGCCAGGTCTAAATGGGCAAAAACCATAATCAGACCAAACAGGTCCACGGGCAAAAGCACCAGAGGCCCGATCCTACCATAGGCAAGTGCCCTGACATCTCAAAATTGACACTTTCCGTCAGTCTCGAAAATCTGATTTCTCCTCACTTCCACATATACACTCTTACACTGGACCACTCTCCGTGGTTACAGAGATGTGCTGCACTTTTGAGATGAGAGAAACAGTTTTTCTTTTCAGTTGAAAAGACGAACTTGTGCATATTCGTTCAAAAGATGTGATACACAGAATGCATTAAATGAAGCTGCAAGCACAATGCCTCAGTTGTGGGAAACCGGGTTAGAGTTACTTTTGGGTGGCACTACACTCCAAAAAGAAAACTGTTTACTTTTTTTTTCTTTGAGGATGACATTGGTGGTAAGAGCAAGGTAAGGAAACATGCTGTTTTTAACTCCCTGCTTTTGCATGCATTCCATCACATCAGCTCCTCTTGAAAAACACAAACAAAATCCTTCATTTTCATGAATAAAATATATTCTAACTCAAGACATTCCAAGGTCTCTTTCAGAATTTCATGAACACTTTCAACGTAAAGCATTAACTGCACCATCATAATTGACGCAAGTCCCCTTTTTTAATAAAAAAAGTCCAAAGGTCAGATGATGTAGTTGCACCTGTGTTGAACATTTTCACTTGACAATCTGAAAAAAAAAACCTTAATTTTTTTCTCTAGCTCAGATTGCCATGGCCAGAGCGGTGCATACAGAGAGTTGTGACATACATATAAGTGTCATCATGGTTGGAATCAAACTGCAAGGTTTTGCACCAATGCCCACAGACAGTTGGTACACAATTGCTGCAAATTATACTGTACACATTTAAATGAACAGCCATTTCGCTTCCCAAATCTGAAGTAGGCAATACTCTCTCTTTTTACAGCTCTGGCCTCGTCTGTGAGTGTACATTTCCGATGATGATGGCACAATGGTGCCATGGGGATGGGCACTCTCCTGTCATTCTTGATTCTTGGGCACCATTACCACACGGAATGTTTATCAGAATCTCAATCAGGTTGGCGTTTACGATATTGTCTCTTTAGTTGTTGCTGGACAGTTTCTTGGCTCAATACGGTGAGTTTGTCTTGAAATCTGGCCATGAACTGCACTGGCTACTGTAAAACCACTGAGGCCTTTAGGAGATGACTCAGTTTAGATGGCAATTCAAAAAAAGGGCCATACGTTGAGAGATGGTCTGCTTTGTCAAGCAGTGACTTAAAAAAATCAGTCCATCATTTTTGTTATGACATTTTCCACCTACTTCCCAGTTGATGGGGAGTGAAAACGCCAGTCGTAGACAATGTTCATGAGTTGGTTCTCATCATGTGGAACCCCATTTCCGCAGTCATCCATCTAAGAACATACATGTATGCACCATAATTTGCCAATGCACAGGAGGACCCTAGACACTGATTGCTATAGAAACAGTAATCAGGAGAATACAGACAATTAGAATGTGAACCGTGGCCCAGTTCATGTGTATGTCAACCCTAGCAAATGATAACAAACATCACTCACTCCCTTGTGTGCTGTCAAATACTGGCTTGCCAAATTCACTCCTTGGTAACTCATGTCATCTAATAAGAAGGCAGACAATGCCAGCCAGGTAGATTAATAATCATCTACTGTATATGTACATGTAGCTGATGCACAGGTGCAAATAACTGATAACGAACCATTACTTTAGGACATCTACATGTACATACATAAGAGGATCTGTCACAATGCAGGTATTTTGACAGAACCCTTTACACTTGGTGGAACACAGATCTGTTGCTTTGCATGGTTTGAAGAATCTTACTGCATTAGATATACATGCAGGCACATGGTCCTCTGTGCACTTGCCCTAGATAGCTGTCACACTTCCTGGCAGATGTTATACTTTTTGCACTCTGCCCAACTCTTTATGCATAAGGTGGGATCACAAGCAGGTATTGTATGTAGCTTTTCATGGTTGGAAGGAGAATGCTGTAAAATCTGTACTGCCTTGTGTGGTTATATTCATGATTCCAGAAAGCTGCCACAGACCCCCACAAATCTGCGCCAGTTGGCATTCAATTGCCACCCTTTTCTTGCAGTTATGACAGTTTGAAAATTGAAGGTTTCACAAAAGGTGGATTCTGAAGAGGATTCTAGCACTAATTACTCATAAAGTGGGCCAATCAGAGTTACTGTGCACTAACTGGTAGCCAATCACAGTCCATTGTTTTAGCCAACCAGGCAAGGGGTCAGATTACTTCTTTCAGGCAATGCTAGTTTAGGAGGGAAATTCTCATGTGAGGATCATTCTGTCACAGCTAGTTGGGCAAGCAGGGTCAATTTGCCCACCACCACCCCAGTATCTGGCTTTTTAAAGGATATTTGGTTTTAGTGGCATTTTTTTTACAGGATTCGAAGATCCAGCCACTTCCTAATACACACAAGATGTGACATGTATCTTTACTGTTGTGATAAATTCTACCAATGATATTATTGTTGACAATGATGATTGCCATAATACAATGTACATGTACATGTAATTTGAAATGTGTAAGGGGTCGGCCACACCCTCTTATGTACATGTACCCCAGGGGGTGGGGTGTGCTGTATGTCCCATAGCACAACCAGTACTGACCCCAAAAGGTTGGATGGATCATTTTATTATTTCATGATTGTTCCTGGGGCCTGGGAGCCCATTCATTAATGACTGGCCTGTAAGCCAAATGACAACAGATGTACATGTACGTCGGACCTGGGAGTCCTTTGTTTGTTTGATGTATGTTTTGAGGCCTACCAGTCCATAACTGATGTCAGCTTGCCCAAAACAGATTTGGTATCTGGCAAAATAATAACTAATTGAAGCTTTGGCAAGAGACAGGAAAATAATTTGTCTGGAAGTTTGTTCATTTGTGAGTAGGAGTATAAACAGACATTGTGCACTGTACATGCATGGATGCATGTTACAACTGTTTTTCACTGAGGTGAAAACAGGTCATCAGTGACATATAAAAAAAGGTAAGGAATCTGAGAAATTCTACTAGCTGCATGAACTTTAACTTGATGCAGTTCCTGGCTTTTTTCCCTTTAATTTGTGTTTCGTTTTCATTTGTTGTTGTTTCACAGATTTAATGTTAAATCTTTTGAACGGGTTAATTAGCAATGAAGAAATGTCTGATCTTCAAGAAAAAAATTGACCACATGAATTCTGGTTCCTAAAATTAAACTTTTAAGGCCGGCTAACACTTCAGACAAAATGGGAAAGCAAAGAAAATTTGATGCCACAAAAAGTTTATGGCTAAATTCGCTGGAGTTGAAATGCGTTCAATGTTCGCACACTTGCAATTCAAACATTGATCCGACACCACAGAGTCATGTTCATGGTTGTTTTTTCACCAATCATAATGGCTTTTAAGAACAAATTTCTGAAAAACTCTTCCAAATTCCGCGCACAGGGAAATCCTTCTGGCCAACGCCCTGACCCCTACCATGTTTGTAGCATGTGATGACACTGCATGACTGCCTCAAGTCAGTACTGACATGACGATTAACTGTGATGACAAGTTTTAAAAAGGCATTTTAATTGCTCTTAAAGGAAAAAAATCAGAGCACTTCTGGGATAAAATGAATCCCGGCTGCAGGCCCAACTGCGTTGTGTTTACCACGCCTAAAAAAATCTACACATATAAGGGCAGTGAAAGCAAAAACATATCATCTACACTCTGTGGAGCTGAAGTTTGCCTGTCAGAATTGGCTATCTTGGGGCTGTGGCTTTGACTTGTTGGCATGATCAAGCCACAGAGAATAGCTGTAGACAATGATCCCCACTTCTGACAAAGTTTTGGGAGAGTGCAAGTTTTGAGGCCAAATCTCTGCTGGAGAATTGACATCCACGTACGTGTATGTGTACTGTGCATGTACATGTATGTTCTCAGCATTACCATCACATCCAGCTACAACTGCTGAACAAAATTCAATTTAATTCAACTCTATCTTGCAGCAAAGGTGGATGTCAGTTTAATTCAATTTACAGTGTACCGGTAGCATGGGCTAGAATTACTATACAGCGCATAAAGTGAGCAGATTTCAACCTGTATGTACCGTACATACGCACAATTGACGCGAGTGAAGCCTTCATTTTTACAGACCTACATGTACAGCGGGATGGATTTCGGACCAGATGAAACTTCTCACTTAAATGACTTTGTGCTTGTCATGTTTCAAATTGAGAATATTGGGTCATTTGACCCAGATACGCCATCAATATAAACTACATGTACCTGTCCTCTGAGGTACGTCACACCACTGTTAAAGATCTACAGAGAGCTATGGAGCATTGAATGTCAGTAAAAGCTGTGATGTGCTCATTTCACCATATACTGTTCCTACACATACACATGCGCAATGAAAAACAGTAAGTACATATATTCATACATACATGTATGTATTCTGAAAGCTCTTTATGGCCAACCTGTTTCATTAAAAAAAAACTTCCTTGTTTTTTGGTTACCTTGTGGTAACCTCACTGCATGTATCGTACATGTATGTTGCCGCAGGGTCCAGACCAAATTAATCATGTTGCAAACTCAGGATGTGTATATGTAGATTGATTGGTAGGTGGCCGTCTCTTGTTGTTGTAGGCAACAAGGTTGATCGATGAGC